AGCAGCCTTGTTGGGTACGTGTTACCCCATATTAAATTCCCATAAGTAAGATATGGATAAACTAATGCATAATAAAGTACATTTAATGTATTTTTGTTTGTATAATGTCGTATTTTTGCAATCAACGCCGATGTTTTAATAATATTTTTGACTTTTTCTTAACATTCAGTTTGGCTTAGAAAAAAACATGTTAAAAATACCGGTATACTGGTATTTACCGGTATTCTGGTGGCAGTATAGTAAGTGAAAGTAGTTATAGTGGTGATGACTGATGCGGATAATCCTGATGATAATAAATGTAATTTTTTTTATGGTGATAATGATGGTGGTGATAATGTCAGCAATATTGTTGGTGATGTTGATGGTTGTGATGATTTATAATGTAAGTAGTTATAGTTTTGATAATGGTGGAGTTGGTGATGATGGTACGTAATGAAAGGGCACCTGGTGATAGTGATGATGGTAGCAGTAATGGTAGTCATGACCATAAGATATCACAATGTTCCAAAAAACAAACTAGCTGACCTTTTCTTTACAGAATACGATTCCACCATTGAGCTATCAGAGTCATATGCTGATCGTTTTCTACAAATGTAATGATATTTGATAAACAATGGCAATAACTACAACAACTGAGTATTACAGTCGATTTCACAAAACTTTGACCACAAATGTTCGGAAACTTTGTTGCGAAGTTCGTTGCAAAGTTCAGAAGCTCATATTGGAATTCACAAGCCAATTTGTAAACATACCGTGACGCATGTTATTTTGTCACAAACATAAAACACTTTCCACAGTTAGACTTGGTGCATTTTAAGTGCAATATGCCTAGAGTGGATCGATATACCGGATATATCCGGTATTTGTTTAGATACCAGTATTGGTGATATTGACAATTTAAAAATACCGATATACCGACATTTTGGTATTTTGCTGCCTAATACCGAATTGAAACGCTATTTCAAGTCAAACTTGCTTACAATCACGTTTAGAAAGCAAAGTTAATAACTTACTGAATGACATTTACATCACCTTGTTGTACTGAATGATTCAACACTTCGATGCCCAATCAAAATAACATAGCTTGATAAAGCCTAGTTCTCATTCATCGCAAACGACGCTTATCGCGACGCTTATCGCCGATACTCACCGAGCGCGAATGCACGAAAGTTCTCATACATCGGTGATCGTCGCAGATGACAGCCGATGTGTTTCGAAATTTCCCAAATTTCCTACAAAATGGCCCATTCAACCGAAAGTTCATTATTTCTGTCAAACTTCAATTGATTATTTCCTTGCTTGCAGAGGAAAAAACAACTTTTACTCATTTCTCATAGATTTTTCAAGCAGGTGGCAGTCGGCGATGGTCGCAAGAAACAAACTTTTTTGTTTCCTGCGATGTCATCGCCGATGGTCGGCGACGATTACGGACAATCGGCGATACAATTTTTGATGTGTTTTCATAAATGGCAAGCGGTCGCCGACGTCGCAAAGCTCCCATCGCCGACGGTTTGCGATGAATGAGAACTAGGCTTAATGCAAATCTTGTGACATTTGCACTAATGCACTAATAACTAGAGGTGTGCGTCGGATCGGATTGACCTCTCTCAATCCGATGGTTTGTCTAAGTTCTCAATCCGAATCCGATCCGAAGATGAAAAAAGTAATCCGATCCGATCCGAAACAATGTTTATAAAATCCGATCCGATCCGATGCTAAAATTCGTAATCCGATCC